CTCAAATAGATTGATTAATTATTGTTATATTGAAATTATCCTGAATAGGTCGTTAATTATTTGGGAGAAAAAACTAAGTGATGGAATCAGAAAGAAGTAAGTAAAATCTCACACACTTTACTTGTTTTCTAATCTATGTATATATGTATGTTTCCAAATAAATGAATATTTTATTTTATTATTTTTGATGTATGAAAATAAAATCAAGCACATAATTATTTTGTGTTGCTCTATATAAACAATGGATCATGCTCATGAATGAAATAAGAAAATAATTTATGGCTATATTTTTTACATCCATGAGAAGTTGGATCATCGACACTAGAATTAGTTATACGGTCGTAGTTAACGGGTAATACTAGTTAGCATAGACATGATTATACAACCCTGCTAATAGGCTATAATAGTTAGCATAATGCCTTGGCCAACGGGTTATAATAATTAGCAATAATCATGATGATAAAATTTTCGATACAACCAATGTCACAGGTTATAATAATGATCGTAGCTAACGATAAACTAATGATTAATGATGATTTATGATGATGATGATGATTTATGATGACTTTAAAGATTGATTCATGGTTTGTATGAAATATCTATTTGATCATTATTTATAATTGAGGAATTGACATATTTTGATATTGATTTACGATTTACGAAATGTTTGACAGAATGTTGATTTTTGAATTGTTTTTGGAATGATTTATATACTACTAATGAAAACAATATTTAATTCGATAAAGTGTGTGAGCTTATACTTGTTGAGATGTGATTTGTCCATTTCTCATTTTCTTTTTATTTACAAATGATATAAATTATAAGTATGATTAGTCTTGTGAGAAGCTAAAAGAATCTGAGCATTGGAGAACTACTTATAGAATGTGATTTTTTGAAGTATTGTTTCTTTTTAGTTGTAACACTCGATATTGACGACTTGTTATTTAGTTATTTTACAGAGATTAAAACTACTTGAGAACTTTATTTTATTTGAAGATTTTTTTTGATAGTTATGGAATAGATTTCGTATTGCTTTGAGGTTTTACTTCAAAATAATATGATCGTATTATGTTTCGGTCTCGGGACGTGATAATTAACTGAACCATAGAGTTGGAATGATGCCACTCTTCTTTTCATGTAAATTCCAAATCTCACTTAGAATGTCTTTCCATGCATCACAATCCATCCTACCTCGCAATAGCCCTCCGATAGTTTTAGTTGCTAAAGGCAAGCCATCGCACTTCCTCACAATCTGCAACCCAGTTTCTTTCAAGTCTAGATGATCACTAAAATCTCTTGCTCCTAATGCATGATGAACAAACATACGGAGAGAATCATCATCTGATAACTTTTGCAATGAAAAATCTGAAACAATTTTCACAATTGATGAAACATTGCAACTACATGTTGTTATAAGTATTTTTGCTTCCTACCGGCCCTGCATCAAAAGGGGATCAAAGCTTGGTCCAAACATCGTATCTCTCATTCCAGATATCATCCAAGACAATAAAGAATTTCTTTCTAGATAGTTTTTCCTTCAAGCTGACTTGAAGCAAATTCAAATCATTCAACTGATCACATGGCTCATGACTGACTGATTGAAGGATCGTTTTTGTTATCTTAACGACATGAAATTCCTGAGAAACACATATCCAAAGTTGGATGTCAAAATGAGCTCTTATGCTGCAATCATTGTAAAGAAGCTGAGCAAGTTTTGTGTTGCCGATACCTCCCATTCCAACAATGGGAATCACTGAAACTCCACCATCAATATCATCATCTCTCAAAACCAAATTTAGTATTACCTCCTTGTCTTTTCCTCTACCATATACTTCAGTTTCATTCACCAAAGAAGTACCAGGCAGCCTGTTCGGTATATCTATCGTCTTTGACTTTCTAATGCTAATCAATTGCAAGTTACTCTTTCTTGTTTCTAAGAGTTTTGGAGACATATTTTATCTTGGACATCATCTTATTGTTAAACATGATAGCCTTGGGATGTAAACTAGTGCAGAAAGTAGGAATAAACTTTTGTACCTTACTTGTGCTGGCCAGGCATTCAATACTTTTCATCAATTTGCGTCCCAACGCGTCAGTTACAAACTCCTCGAAGATGTCATCCGCGTCGTAGGCCAAGTCTTGGAGGTCAGCCAACCAGATCTTCAGCTGTTGCTCTTTCATTTGTCTGTTCTCTGCATCAGCAACAAATGCATTTATATTCTTCAATGCGAATTCCCATTTCTCAATCTCCTTGTGAACCGGCTTTTAACTAGCAAGCTTGAAGTCAAAAGAGCTGAACTTGTTAAACAGCGCAACAAAGAGAGCAGATAGAGGAGCCTCTCCAATACCAGACATGATCAATAACTTTGAAGGAAAATCAAAGAGTAGGAATTGAGCAGAAGGAAAAGAGTAGCAATTAGTTTTCTGAAAGCTGAAGAGTTTAGGCAGTGTTTGGTAATGCTGAAAATGAAGAAAATAAAAAAAAAATAGCAATATCTTTCTTGTTTTAGCTTGAGATGGAAAAGGAGAGACACAGAACTGGCCAGATGGGTTTATTGTTTTAAGTCTCCTTTTGCAACATGAACAGAGCTAGGTCCACAAGGTTTTTGGGGTCTTAAGTTAGGACTCCTAACAGGATTGCCATCGTTCTCTCGGTGCTGCAAGAGCCAATAATGAGAGAAACATAAGCATGGATGTTGGAAGTCAGCTGCCAGCTCAAGACCATGGCTCAAGACGCGTCAGAAAAGCCCCTGGCTGGACCAGGGATTTTGTCATGGGATGAGAATAGAGTTTGTTATAGTGCATGTAATTCTTGTCTTAGCTGATGACTCAGACATATATTTAGATAGAAAACAAAGATGATAGTGAAACAACTATGATAGTGACATGTAACGATGAAATTGAATACTGTGCTGAGAATGTATAACATATATGCTCCAAAATGCTATGAGAATTACTCCCAGATTCCAAAAGTCTTTGTGCCAATCAAAGTTAATGGGAGAAGATTACGTATTTCCCCAATACCAGTCATGATCAAGTACTGGACAATGTGAGAAAATAGTAAGGAAAAAAAAAAGTCATAACATTAGTAATTCACCAGGGTGATGAGTCTATATATCTCACAAAATCATAAAAAAGTTGGCACTAAGAGCCTGGAAATTCTTTTTTTTTTTTTTCGATAAATGCATTCTATTCATCTCTGCAACAGAGTAACATGTTGCAAAACATCAAACATTGCAAACAACAATCATCAAAGCATCAAGATATAATACTTAAAAAGTACAGGTAGAACCAAGAAATGAAGGCAGCATAAGCAGCCAAGTCCTTCGAGCTCTACTGTTACATAGAGAAACACAATGAAATCTGACTACTGCATATTCAAACAACCAGACGAGCACAATTCCAATTTCTTTTTGGAATTATGAGTGTGTTTGAATGACAGTGAAGTGAGCGCTAGAGAGGAAGCCCAAGATGCTTTTGTATGAAGCTATAGGATCTTTCTTAGTAACTCGATCGTTTGGAGATTATTTGGGGGATGATTTGTTTTCCTTTTTGGAGGTTCCTAATAGATGCTTTGATTGATGTGCTCAATTTTGGATGGCTAACTTTATTTGCTTTGAGTGGAGTGCTGTTTCTTCTAAATTTTGATTAGCAAACGATGTTTTGTCTGAGTTTCGTGAGATGTTGGCAGTTCGAGTTCCTTAGTCCGCTAGGGTTACAGATTTGTTATTTTTTGAGTGATGATTCTTATGTTTTTAAAGTGTCGGGATTTTTGTTTGGTTTTGTTTTCTGATCTTTTAACATAGGTTTGGGTTTTCAGAGTTTTTTTGTTTTTTTCGCCGATTTAGTTTTCATAGTTCTTTGGTTCACTGATTTATCTAAACAATATTTGTAACCAAAAAAAAAAAAAAGGAAAGCGAGACGCCAAATTTTACGTGGAAAACCTCGGAGGAAAACCCCGGAGGAAAAAACCACGGGACAATTGTCCTGCCAAATGTTCCAGTGTTCAATCTAATGAGATTACACACGTCTTGTCTAAGTTTAATTTACAATCATCACCTGTGAGATAAAAAGAGCAATTTGACCAAAAGTCAACCGTCCGAGGAGGCAACTCAAGGAGTAACAAACACCATAACATTGTCTGATTGTTCATTCAAAGATGGTATCTCTTTCCCATCCTTTTTTTGGTTATCCACCCATTTACAAATAGCCATAAGCTATGCAGGTGTCAAGCAACCAAGTCTTCCCAACTGGCTATGTCTCCCCAACATCATCACTTGTTTTGAAGAAAGGGTCAAGAGATCCACCAATGCCCAAACATACAACGAGTTGTAACCTGGAAGATTAAAAGTTGCTTCGAAGTTCTGATATGTAGCACGCCCACCATATTGATGAAATCAGTTAGATAATGCTACCGCAAGAACTCCCTGTCACTGAATCCTGAGAGAGCTTTAGAATGCGTGAGTTTTGTCATCCTGTCATACAAAGCCGCCAAAGCATTATATTGTTTGGCCGAGTAACGAAAACTTTAACACAGTAATTCTCAAAGACTTACAAAATTATGAACCTCGGATACAGGTTAGATGCTGTGGTGATCTTCATTCGAATTGAAATTTCTATGAAACAAGCTATTACTATGTAATTACCTGGCTTCCATTGGAAATGCATTTCTTGCGCAAAAGCTTTACTAAATAGCAAGAAAGTTGGTATTGAAAGTATCCACACAACCACTGTTTCAGCAGGGGACAGTCACCAATGTTTAGCTACAAATTCAAGAAACCAGCTCTGCTCGAGAAGAGCTGAACAAGGTGGGAACGAAAGCAGGGCAGCATTAGTCCTATTTCTTGTAGAAAAGATACTACATCCTTCCCAACAATCTTCAGCACCATTTGAAAGTCCTATCTTGAAGGTGGCTGAGCAGAGTCCTTGCTCAAACAGCTCGTAAATGGAGCAGAATTCCTTTCCTGGGAGAAACTTTGAATTTTATAACCGATTCACCACCATACAAAAGACATGGTACAAAGTCGAATAAAGATCACTTCAAGAACAGTCAAAACAATATAGAACTAAAGAAATAAGCTCTACAGGTTGTAGGTAAGCATCATCAATTAAACAAAACAAAGAAAGCATTGAATTTCCTTAGAAAAGTCATACCAGAATAAAAAATCTATATCAACCACGAAACAGTGCCAGAATAACAAAGTTGCTCTTTTTCCTTCTTTTCCAGTTTCTTTTTTCCCCCCCTGCTTCACTGAACAATCAATTTCTAGGATTAGTTCCAGTCGGGAAAAAAAGTTTAAAACTTCCTTTTAAACAATGTACATAAATTGAAAAATAAAAGACAATGATTAATGCGAACAAAATTGATTTATTGACTGTGATAGCATGTTGGCACATTCTTAATAGAAAAAATCTATAGTTCTCTGTTCTGGTGCAATGACATTCATTATTTCAATGATCTTCATTTTAATTAACAATAAATATTTTATGAAAAATGATATTAGCTTTAAACTACCTGGCTTCCAACATCAAGAATGCATCAGGAGTCAGCACCATCTCTCACTTACTACTCCACAAAATTATTTGAAAGCTGGTAATGAAGATAATTAATAGCATGATGCAGATTACCAAGAAAGTGACAATATAAGATAATAAAGGTAAAAATTTACTCAACTTTTGAAAGTAAAAATATGTACTGATTCTATTCTCAAAAAAGAGAACAGATTATAATGATAACGAAGATTTTCTAGTAGGCCTACCTACAGTGATCAAGAGGATAAAAGTTTGAGAACTAACATTTTTTTCGGTCCAGAGGTTTTGAAAGCCTTTGGACAGAAATCCCTCTTCTAATACCAATCCTATCCCCTCTTGTCGAAACAAGACAAGGCCACATCCAACAATCCTTCAACACCATTGGAGACTTGTCTATAAAACGCTCTTCTAGAGTTAAACATCTGGAAAAAAGCTAGAAATTTACAACCTCATTTAATGCAATACAAAATGGGAAGAAAGATTGGTTGAACCAAATAAGTGATCACTTCAAAAACATACAAAATACATGAAACCAAAGAAATAACCTATAGATTGTAGGCAATCAATACTAACTTAATTAAAATAAAGAATGAAATCAACTGAGTTGATATTAAATTAAAATCAATTAAAATAGTAATTAATTCTATATTAAAATACTGAGTCACAGATGATCTAATTCTTCCATAGGAAATGGGTTTATCACATGGATTTACTAGTACGAAGAAAAAACTAAAATATTTGAAAATTGAATACAAGAAAATTCACTGCTCGCTTGGGTCATGGTTGAGTAGATATATTTGTATATTAAGGAAAAAAAAAAGAAAAAAATCAGTTAAAATAGTAATTAATTCCAAATTAAAATACCTGAGTCCTTGAGACATGCTCTAATTATTCTTCACTTGATCATTGAAATTAATTGTCAATGCGTACACATGGTATGTGAGCAATGTTAGACCATAGTTTTCCTTTGTCCCTTCTGTACCTTTTCTTCAGCACTGGACAATTATAAATAAATAGCACCAAAAGGGAGGGAAGCATTTCCTTTTTGGGAAGGGATTTGAGCTTTGGGCAATTCTCAATACTCAAAAATTGAAGAGAGGTGAGGTTTTGAAAGCCTTTGGAGGATAGCTTTCTTAGATTTTTGAAATTTATGATTTCAAAACGGGTAAGAGATGGGGGCAGCTTCATATTCATTCCTATCTTCACATGTGGAAACGATACGACATCTATAAAATCACTACCATCAATGCGAAGTTTTTTAAGAGAGGTGAGTCTATGCAATCCCCACTCCATTACTACCTTACTAAAATTGGGATCATACATGAAAAGTGATGTCAAGTTGGTAGGCAAACCGGCTTCTCCAATTGATTTCATCATTGGACAATTACTTATCCACAACTCCTGAAGAGAGTAGAAGTTGGGCAGAACTTCAAGTTTCAGACATCCAGAGAGCGACACAGATTTGAGGTTGGAGGCAGGCAAGCCACTTGCTGGGAAACAATCCAGATTTGAACAACCTCCAAGGTCAATACATTGAAGACGGCTCAGCCTGTCCAGTCCTTCGGGTAAATATTTAATATTTGTACACCGGATGAGTTCAATAGATTCAAGACAAATATTATCCCCAATTTCAAGTGCTATATAATCAAGCTTTGACCACCAGATTCTCAAAGATTTAAGCCTCACCGGTAACTTACCGCTTGATGATACTGATTTTAGAGCTTCACAATTACTAATTTCAAGAGATTCAAGGAGAGATGTGCCGCTGAAATTGATATTCTCTCTGTCGTCCAGTAAACATTGCAAATTCTTACAACAGAGGATCTTCAAACTTTTAAGAGTTGGAGGCAAGTTATCTGTCAAAAGCGAAACCAATTTTGGGCACTCCACAAGCTCTAACTTTCTAAGACACATGAGGCTTTGCAAGGTGGCTGATAACTTCTCTAAGCCTTCACAACCTTGGATTGTCAAATGTTCAATGTTGCAGGGTATGTCTAATTGCACAAGCTCTGCTTGTTCCTCCACCTTTGCAGCTCCCATAGACACAATTTGTGGCCAATGTTGAATCTTTAAATTATGAAGAGATCTCAAAGATGCCAACCACCCCCACTTTGTTTGCCATAAAGAAGCTAGCTCCTCACAACCATCAATACTGAGATCTTCTACTTTCATTGACTCTAACATCATTTCTTTTGTTACACATTCAAACTTTGCTGTGTCTGAAAGAAAGACTTTTTTCACTGACCAAAGATCACTAGAACTCCCGAGCACTACTGCCTTGCATCCATGAATTTTTAATTCATATAGCATTGGAAGATTTGAAATTGAAACTACCAATTTTTGGCAATTACGAATTACAATTTTCTCCAGAGAAGGAAGGCTATCGGGCAAAGTTCTAACCAATTTGGGACAATTTTTAATGAAGAGTTTTTGGAGGCAACTGAATTTTCTACCTTCTTCAACAACTTCACAAGGCTCCCACTCTTCCCATTCTGGCATATCATCAAAATGTAATGTCTCTAACAATGGAAATACATTTGGGCAATTGTCTCCATAGAATTCCTTGCCAACACTAATCACACTGCTCATCCCCTTGATGTAAAGATCTTTTAAATATGGTAGCTTCCCAACTGCAGGTAATAATGCACAATTTCGACAATCTTCAAACTTTAAAGATCGCAACTTTTCAAATGAAGGATCCCCTATCCAAATAGGAAGCAATATGCCAGCATAATGCTTGATGGCAAAGCTCTTAATATCTTTATGAGGTTGGAGCACTTCAACACTTCTGTCTCAACTTCTTTCTTTCTTAAATCTTCATTGAGGTCTTTACTCCACTTCAAACTCTAAATTATTGAGGCAGACTTGCTAGAAGCTTAGCATCGTGTACGTATTCTGCTTCATCTACGTATGCAATTCAGAAATACAAAGCTGACCTTTGAGATTGATAAATTCTGCATCTCTCTTATATTTAGTCCATCTCCATGGCTGATAATAAAATCAGACAATGCTCGGAGATTTGTTTATTCACCAATTCCACTTGGCATTTCCTTTATAGAAACTGAACCATTAAATATCTAGAGAGCATAGGTTTTTTCAAAATTCCTATTTTTGAGGCACTTCTCCAGCTTCTCACAAAATTTTAACAAAAGAGTCTCTAAATTGTAAAGGGTACATAAAGAATCAGGCAAACTTCGAATACCAGTATAAGAGAAATCTAGATAACGTAGATGTTTCAAGATTCCAATAAAATCTGGTATCTCGGAGTTGTGGTACCTTTTCAAAGAGAGCACCCTCAAGCATTTCAATCTCGGCAGTAAATCATCGAGAACGTTATTGCTTAAGAAGCACTCATCATACTGCATCCGCATCTTTGTGTCAAAGGGCAAGAAGGTCCGTAGAGACTTTGCTTCAAAAAAGGTCTCAAACTTTTTGATTCCGTCATAGTCACCGATGACATAAGAGGAGTGACGAGTGCGACTTGGGTTCTCTATTCCCTCACTTCTCTCCCTTTTAAAATATGTTTCTCCTGCAACGGACTGAGCCAGATCATTAATCAGGTCATGCATTACAAACAAAGATTGAGCCTTGCCAGATGCTTGAAAAAATGACCTTGACACCAATTCCTCAAAGCACTCCCTACCCAGATCTTCAATTCTCCTTTCAGTGTTTGGTCTATTTAGAAAACCTTCTGCCATCCACAATTGGACTGTTTCTTCCTCACTAAATTCATAATCTTTAGGAAATAGAGAGCAGTAAGCAAAACATTGCTTTAATTGTGAAGAAAGAGAATAGTAACTCAACAAAAGAGCTGGAACTATGTTACTTTTCTCTTCAGGTAATTCCAAATATCACTCTCTAATATAGCTTTCCATGCATCATGGTTCACCCTAGTGCGCAATAACCCTGCAATGGTTATAGTTGCCAAAGGCAAGCCACCACACATTTTCACAATCTCCAGGCCTATCTCTTTCAGTCTGGATGCTCAATAAAATCCTCTCTTTCTAACGCATGACGAGCAAGTACAGAGAGAGAATCTTCATTTGATAAGTATTGCAACAAGTAATCCGCAGTAGTTCTCATAATTGATGAAACATTGGAAGTACGTGTTGTAACAATTATTTTGCTTCCTGGGACCCCTGCATCGAAAGGGGGTCGAAGCTCCAACCACGCACTGTAGTTCTCGTTCCAAACATCATCCAAAACAAGCAAGAATTTCTTTCTGGATAGCTTCTCCTTTAGTTTGACTTGAAGCAAATTGAACTCCTTTTCATCGCAAGGCTCAGAAGTGACCGATTGTAGAATTGCTTTTGTTATCTTAACGATATCAAATTCCTCTGAAACACATACCCATGATGTAAGATCAAAATGATCTTTTATGCGGTCGTCATTGTAAACAAGCTGAGCAAGGGTTGTTTTCCCAATTCCTCCCATGCCAACAATGGTAATCACAGTAACTCCACCATCACCACCATCGTTGCTCAAAACCAAATCAAGTATCTCCTGCTTCTCTTTGTTTCTACCGTGTACATAGGTTTCATTCACCAAAGAAGTGCTCCGCGGCCTCCTTGGCATTGTCATAGACCTTCCAACACTGATCTCCGTTAGCTGCAAGTTACTTTTCTGTGTTGCTAAACCTTCCAATCTTCTAGTAATCTCTTTGATCTTGGACATCATCTTATAATTAAACATGATGGAACTTGGATGTAAACCAGTAGGCCTACCCTGTGGTACCATACTGGTGCTGGCTTGATGTTCTTTCACCAACTTGCGCCCCAAAGCTTCAGTGGCAAACTCGTCCAAGATGTCATCCAAGTCGTAAGCCAAGTCTTTGAGGTCAGCCAGCCACATCTTCACAGCACCACTCCGCACTTGCTTCCACTCTGCATCAGCAAGCACTGCACGGATATTCTTCAATGTCAGCTTCCATTTCTCAATCTCCTTTCGAACCCGCTTGTCAGCGATAAACTCGAACTCGGAAGAGAGAAACTTTGCAAACAAGGCCTCAAAGAAAGCAGATAGAGCAGCCTCTCCGATGAAAGCCATTATGAATAGCTTTGATGAAGGAATTATGAGAATAATTGAAGTAAAGAGAAAATCAGAGAGTAGGGATTGAAGAAGAGGAAATGGGTTTGCAGGTTGTTTTAAGAAAGCTGAAGAGTTTGGGAAGTATCTGTGAGTCTTCCTTTCGGGTCTAATAATGCTGGGCTATTGGTAATTTTCTTTTATATATTCGCATTGGATTCACATTCACAGGGTCAACGCTTCAAAGAAAAAGCAGTACCCCTCTCAGCTCAAGATGAAATTCACTGGAAAGTATTGAGTGGTGGGTCCATTAGGTTGGTTTGGGTCTCCATTTCCAGTTTTCCTATTATTTTCCAAGGTGTCCGTTAATTGAGGTGAAGACAAATGAATAGAGGATGGTCCACACGGTTTGTGGGGACTTGGGTGGGGTGTCCTAACCAGTAACCAACGATTGTAACGTAAAATTCAATGAAGGAGAAGTGAGCATAGCATTATTTCTACGTACTTTCTGGTGTTCAACACTCGTTGGCTCTTATGAACCGGCCCAACTTGACTTTTTCAACAGTTTCATATTGTGCTTCTACTGTTAACGTGTTACAACCGGAGACAACAAATACGGCAAATTCAAACAACCAGGCAACAGCAATTCCAATTTCATTTCCCTCTTTGAGCGAATTAAATACAAAATTTGATAGATGATATGAAGCAGGATACTAAATTTTACAAGGAAAACCCCTTGGTAAATGGGAAAAGCTATGGGAATTCAATCCATTCAATCTTCTACTACTCAAAATAATGGGATTAGACAAGTCTTGTCTAGAGGATATTGCAAGTTCTTGCATAACATACTGTTATCACTTCATAAAAGTGTGTTAACAAGAGCATTCTGAACAAAAGTGATCTGTCTGTGGAGATAAATCAAGCAGCCAAAGTTGTCTCTTGCTCATCCTTTTTCTTTCCATTATCCACCCCACCCGTTTACAGACATCCATGTCACTTTTGGAAGTTTACAATTTCTCTAGCTAATCTCCCAATCTGGCCATGTTTTCTAAGGGGCTCCCCAATATAATCGCTTGTTTTGGAAGAAAGGATCAAGAGATCCATTAATGCCCAAACACATAACATAAAGATTCAAACGAAAGCAATGCCCTTTTTATTGAGAAGAGAGTCAAGTTTCAAGCTTGGTCGTATTCTAATGCCAAAATGCTTGTGTTAAAGTGCACTTCGATTGATTCTTGATTTAATTCTTAAATTAAGCTTCACTGAATCAGGTTGCTTGCAAAGAAAAAGTTAAAATTGGAGATTGGTGAGAAGAATTGGTATAAATAATTAACAATTCATTGTTGTTTAGCTTAGATTTACCATACAATGATCAACTTCGTTTATATTTTAAATTTCTTGGCTAACATATAATCATCACCTTAATTATAAAATGCTCTAACAGGAGCAATCTCAACAAAAGTGAACTGTTCGTGGATACGAATCAAGCAGTTACAAACACCATAACCATGTCTGATTGTTCATTGAAAGATGCTTTCCTCATCCGTTTCTCCTAATGCATCCATGTACAAACACTGTTGTAGGTTTCAGGCTATATGACTGTAGCCACCATCATGTATTAAGAACTAGACATTCTTGAATCAAACATCACCAACCATGCTTTTCAAAGTGCTTTATCACTTGTTTTGGAAGACAGGATTAACTCGTAGACATGATAGTTTGTGTACTTAGTGTCATATAAAATAGTAATAATTTTTATTATGTTTACATGAAAATATGATATATATTTTTTAGTTTAGTTAAATCTCATATATGATCGTTAAAATCTTAAATTATATTGTCTTCTTATTATTTTATATTATATCATCATATCGTGATTTAAATTATCATATCTAAATTAAAAAATCCAGCAATGTCTAAATATACAAAATAGAATTATAGTTAAACCAAAAGCTTAGTACTTTTCTTCAGAAGTTCCAGTGTGGGATTCCAATACACTACTATGCATCTTAACAATGAAACCAGTTAGGAACTACCCATTTTAAAACAGGAGATGCAGCCTACACAACTTCCCACCACTGAATCTTGAGAGCATTAGATTAGAATGTGTGAGTTTCATTCTTCTTGGCATAAAAAGGCAAAAGCATTCTGTTAACTATGTGGGAGTAAGTAACAATACTGAACTCAGTAAATTCTTTGTAACTCTGAGATGCTATAAGGAGGTAGAGAACAACAGAGACATATTAAAAACTAATTGATAAAAAATCTGATGAAAAAACTACTATTGTACTACTTTTGGTCCCATCCAATCAATGATGGCAAAAGCAAATACCTCTTGTTGAGCCAAAATAATTGGTGATGTGAAATGAGCACTCATCTTGCATAGACACAACTGAGATAGAAAACCAAAAAATTCCAACTGTTCTCAGCTGCAGTAGTTTGAAGGACATGAAGAGTCAATTGAAAGCAATGACCACTTTACAAAAATTAAAAGAGATGGATTTCAAATCTGCTCATGCTCTAATGCGATGAAGCTTATGTCTTAATATCCACTAGAATTGATACTTGGTTTAATTCTTGAATTATGCTTCACTGAATTAGAGAAAAGATTTCATCTATGAAATTAATATGATGGCAATGGAGTAAACAAATGGATATTTTTAAAAAGAAACACAAATCTTTTTGAGAATACTAAAATACGACAATTAAATAAAACATAAATTTTTTTATTTTTCATTTATATTTTTAAAAAGATGAATTAAAATAAATTGAACGTTTGTTACATAACAACACCCTAGCATAAAAAGACACATCTTTTTGAAAATATTAAAATACAACAATTAAATAAATCATAATTTTTTTTAATTTTTCATTTATATTTTTAAAAAGATAAATTTCAAACATCGTGATAAAATTTTTTTATTTATCATTCAAAATGGCAGCAACCTGAAACAATAAATACTACTTTATTAAAGATATTTTAAACAAATCACTTTTAAAATTTTTTAAATTAAAATTTTATTAAAATAATTTTAATCAATAACTTTTAACACTTTTTCAATATACAAACCCAAAGTCCAAACAACCAGCCAATCACAAAGTCTAATTTCTTTTCCCCCTTTGTGCAAATTAAGTTGACCATTTCATATATTAAAGTGATGTAAATCATTCCATACCAATGTAATAAAATGAAATAATCACTGGCTCATGAAAGTAAAGACACATTTTACGTGAAAAACCTGGAAAAAGAAACCATGGCAGGCTAGACCGATGAATATTCTTCTACCACTCAAAGTAATAATAGTTTCACTCAGTACTCTTCTCTAGTGTAACTTCTAAATAGAAAATGTCACATGTTATGATCAAAATGCCAAATTTCTTGGTAGAACTAGTTGTGGAATAGCTATTCTAATAATACTGGTTCTAGTAAACAGGCTGCAGTATAAGTGGCAGCAACCAAGCAACTAAACAGTAGAAGAGTAAAGTAACAACATGCAAAAGAACGGTAAATAGCAGATACCTATCTGGGTTTAAATATGAGCTAGCAGCAGCGACTGAATTCATCCGTCGCTGATACCATTTTTTAGTAGTGATGCCTGCAATGGACAAAGAGCCTAATCCTTGAAAGGTTTAATTCTTCCAGTTGATCATTCATGTATGAATCTACCATCAATCTCTACACAAGGTATGTGGGCGAGGTTGGACCATTGTTTTCCTTTATCCCTTTTGCACCTTTCCTTTAGCACCGGACAATACCTTATATATAGTAGCAAAAGTGAGGGAAGCATTTCCTTTCTGGGAATGGATTTGAGCTTTTTGCAATTGTAGATCCACAAGGCTTGAAGAGAGGGGAGGTTCCGAAAACCATTGGAGGACAGCTTTCTTAGATTTTTGAAACTATAAATAAAAAGATGAGTGAGAGAAGTTGGCAGCTTCGTATTCACTCCCATCTCCTCTTGTGGAAATGACTCTGCATCTATGCAACTACCATCAATGTTGAGTCGTGTAAGAAAGGTGAACCTGTGCAATCCCCACTCCATCACTGCCTTACTAAAATCAGGTTCATAGATTGTGAGTGATGTTAGGTTGGTTGGCAAAGCTCCTTCTCCCAAGGATTTCAGCCTTGGACAATATGCTACATACAAATGTCGAAGAAAGTAGAGATTAGGCACAGCTTGGAGTTTTCCACATCCAACAAGCCACACAGATTTCAGGTTGGTGGTAACAGGCAACCCACATTCAAGAAAACAAACCAGATTTCCACAATTATGGATTCTAATCATTTGAAGACGGCCGAGCTTGTCCATTCCTTCAGTTAAATATTTAATATTTTTACAGTAACTGAGAAAAATTGATTCTAGATAAGTACTGACTCCAATTTCATGTGCTAGAAATTCTATGTTAGTGTGTTAGTGGTTGAAGCAACTAGGTATGGCATTTCTACTGGCACTTTTGTAATAGGTTTTGCCATCGATCAGTTTAGGTAACATGATGGATCTGTGCATGGTGATCCATACTGTTAGGCAAACAACTCTTGTAGTAGTTAAACAAACTTTTGTATGTTAAAGCCTATATATTAATGAAATGAAGCTCATGATCTGTAGAGCCAATTTACTTCAAGTGACAGATTAGTTTCTTCTTTTTTTTGTTCTTCCTCTGCTCTAAATCCTTCAATTGGTATCAGAGCATTCTTTAAGGTCTTAGAGGACCTGTGAGTTCTAAAAAATTGAGTGAAAAGCCATCAAACACATACCAGCCAGCTTTTGTCAACCTTAAATGGCCTCAAGCAATTGCTCCATACCTCCACCTCCTATTTTTTCTGGTGAGAACTACCAGATATGGGCTGTCAAAATGAAGACTTATTTGAGTGCTTTTGATTTGTGGAAAGTGGTAAAAAATGAGAAGGAACCACCACAACTTCTTGCAAATCCAACAGTAACTCAAATGAAAAATTATAGTGAAGAAAAAGCAAAGAGGTACAAGGCTAAAAGCTATATAGAGTCTTCAGTTTCTGATGACATATTCATTAGAATCATGACTTGTGAAACTGCAAAACAAGCTTGGGATGTGCTTATGGAAGAGTTTCAAGGCAGTGACAAGACAAGACAAATGCAAGTGTTGAATCTTAGAAGAGAGTTTGAAGTCTTAAAGACGAAGGAGTCTGAAAATTTAAAGCAGTACAATGACAGACTCATGAAGATAGTAAACAAGATTAGATTACTTGGTGAGGAGCTGTCAGACAAAAGAATTGTAGAGAAGGTTCTTGTCAGCTTACCAGAGAGGTTTGAGTCAAAAATCTCATCCCTTGAAGACTCCAAGGACCTGACCAAGATAACTCCAGCAGAATTGTTCAATGCTTTACAAGCTCAAGAGCAAAGAAGGGCTATCAGACAAGAGGATTCAACAGAAGGTGCTTTTACAGCCAAGGAGAAAGGCAAGATACAAACAGAAAGAAAAGGCAGAAAACAAGGAGATCAAAGAAACAAAGGTTCTAGAAACAGTGAAAAGAAAAGCAAGTTCCCACCTTGCTCTCACTGCAAAAAGACCACTCACTTGGAGAAATATTGCTGGTACAGACCTGACATACAATATAGGTACTATAAGCAGCTTGGTCACATAGAGAAGGTATGTAAAAACAAAAAATAGCAGCAGCCAGATCAACAAGCCAGAGTTGCTGACAATCAACTACAGCTAGAAGAGCAAGTGTTTGTTGCAACTTGCTATGGAACCAGAACCTTCTCAAGTGCATGGCTCATTGACAGTGGCTGCACACATCATATGGCATCTGATATCAACATGTTCAAAGAACTAGACAAAACCTGCACCTCTAAAGTTAGAATAGGTAATGGTGATTTCATAAAAGTCAAAAGAAAATGAGTAGTGACAGTTGAGACACCAACAGGTACCAAACTCATTTCAGATGTGTTATTTGTGCCTAAAATAGATCAAAACCTATTAAATGTAGGATAGTTGCTAGAAAATAACTACTCTTTAGTTTTCAAAGACAAGGCATGCATAATTCATGATCCTACTGGCCATGAACTCTTTACTGTTAATATGAAAGGAAAATGTTTTTCCTTGAATTGGCATGAAGCAAACTCCTCTGCATATGCTACTTCACATGATGAATCTTCTATATGGCATAAAAGGATGGGACATTTCAACTACAATGCATTGAATTTCATGCATAAAAATGATCTTGTATTAAATATGCCTACTGTTGAAGTCAGTGCTGGAGTGTGTGAAGTCTGTCAGCTAGGAAAACAAAGTAATTGCCATTTACAATTAACAAAGCATAGAGGGCAACTGAAAAACTACAACTTGTTCATACTGATGTTTGTGGTCCTATGAGAACCTGTCCTTGAATGGCAGTAGATATTTCATTGCTTTTATAGATGATTTTACCATAATGTGTTGGATTTACTTCATGAAACAAAAGTCTGAAGTTGCAAATGTATTTTGGAAGTTCAAGGATTGGATTGAGAATCAAAGTGGCTGTAAAATCAAGATCATAAGGTCAGACAATGGTACTGAATACACATCTGACAGATTTAATGAGTTTTGTGAAGTTGCAGGAATTGAACACCAACTGACAGCAACTTACACTCTACAACAAAACGGAGTCAGTGAAAGAAAGAATAGAACAATCATGGAGATGGCAAAATGCATGCTGTTTGAGAAGAATCTTTCAAAGAAATTTTGGGCAGAGGCAGTCAATACCTCTGTCTACTTGCTCAACAGGCTGCCCACAAAAGCTTTGAAAGGAAACACTCCTTTCGAAGCCTGGTATGGAAGCAAACCATCAGTGCACCACCTCAGAGTTTTTGGCAGCATCTGTTATGTGTTTGTTCCTGATATCAAAAGGGACAAGCTTGATCAAAAAGTAGAAATATGTATTTTTCTGGGCTATAGCAACATCACCAAAGGCTATAGGAGTTACAATCCACTTATAGGCAAGATGATTGTAAGTAAAAATGTGAGATTTAATGAGCAAGCTGCTTGGAATTGGGAAAATTCAAAGGGAGAATCAGTCAAACAAATTGGTGCAGACATGATAAGCTTCCAAGATCAAGAAGATTATATGTTTGAAAATGAAATCATTGATCATGAATCAATGAGAGGAATCAGACCACTCACAGATATTTATCAAAGATCAAATGTTGCCATTCTTGAACCTGTAAACTTTGAAGAAGCTGTCAAATTTCAGAGTGGAGGAATGCCATGAAGGAGGAGATTCAAATGATTGAGAAAAATCAAACATGGATGCTAGTTGATAGACCAAACAACAAAAACATCATTGGTGTTAAATGGATTTTCAGAACAAAGTTGAATGCTGATGGTTCCATCAACAAACTTAAAGCTAGATTGGTAGCTAAAGGCTATTTCCAGCAGCTTGGTGTTGATTTTTCAGAGACATTTGCTCCAGTTGCAAGGTTGGACACCATAAGGCTGCTATTAGCCTTAGCAACTCAGCAAAGTTGGAAAATATACCAACTTGATGTCAAATCGGCCTTCTTGAATGGTTATCTTGAGGAGGAGATTTACATTGAACAACCTGATGGTTTTGTTGCCAAGGGACATGAAGGTAAAGTCTATATACTCAAGAAGGCTTTGTATGGATTAAAACAAGCTCCAAGAGTGTGGAATTCTAGAATTGATGATCATTTACTGAAGTTAGGATTCAAGAAAAGCCTCAGTGAAGCAACATTGTACATTAAAGTTTTTAACAGTAATGATCTGTTGATTGTTTCTTTGTATGTTGATGATCTTTTGGTGACAGGTAGCAAATCTGCTCTTGTGGAGGATTTTAAGCTCCAAATGCAGGAAATTTTTGAGATGACAGATATGGGAAAAATGTCTTACTTTCTTGAAATGGAGATTCATCAAGACCAGCAAAGAATCTTCATTTGTCAAAGAAAATATGCAAATGAAATCTTGAATAAGTTTGTGATGGAAAATTGCAAACCAGTCAACACTCCTTTGGCTCAAAATGAGAAACTTATTAAGGAAGATGGAGCTAACAAAGTTGATGGTTCTATTTATAGAAGCTTGGTTGGTTGCTTATTGTATTTGACAGCAACAAGGCCAGACATCATGTATGCTGCAAATTTACTCTCTAGGTTCATGCAAAATCCTAGTGAGTTACATTTTAAGGCTGCAAAAAGAGTGTTGAGATATGTCAAAGGAACTAGTGAACTTGGAATTTGGTTCAAAAAGAATGAAAGTTCAAGATTGGTTGGATTCACAGACAGTGACTGGGTTGGCTCTCATGAAGACATGAAAAGCACTTCAGGCTATGTGTTTTTCATTGGATTAAATGTGTTCAGCTAGAATTCAAAGAAACAAGGAACTGTGACTCAATCAACAGCAGAAGCAGAGTATATAGCTGCTGCAGCTGCTATTAATCAAGCAATTTGGCTAAGGAAAATTCTGATGGATTTGAGTCAAAAGCAAGATGATCCAACAAAAATCTTTTGTGATAATCAGTCAGCAGTTGCAATGGTTAAGAACCCTGTGTTTCATGGAAGAACTAAGCATATTAAGATCAAGTATCACTTTATTAGAGAAGTTGAAGCTGAGAATGAAGTGAAACTGGTGCATTGCAAGTCAGAAGATCAAATTGTAGATATTCTGACCAAAGCCTTACTAAAGGCAAGGTTTGAAACATTGAGGAAAAATCTTGGTGTTTCCAGCAAAAATGCCAAGGAGGAGTGTTAGTGTGTTAGTGGTTGAAGCAACTAGGTATGACATTTCTACTGGCACTTTTGTAATAGGTTCTGCCATCTGATCAGTTTAGGTAACATGATGGATCTGTGCATGGTGATCCATACTGTTAGGCAAACAACTCTTGTAGTAGTTAAACAAACTTTTGTATGTTAAAGCCTATATATTAATGAAATGAAGCTCATGATCTGTAGAGCCAATTTACTTCAAGTGACAGATTAGTTTCTTCTTTTTTTTGTTCTTCCTCTGCTCTAAATCCTTCATTCTAGCATTGGAGGCCAATGAATATCCAGCCTTTTGAGCCTCACAGGTAACTTGCCACTTGATGATATTAATTTTAGAGTTTCACATTTACAAACTCTGAGAGATTCAAGAACAGATGGGCCACTAAAATTGAAGTTCTCTCTGTCATCCAGCAAACACTGCAAATTTTCACAGTTGCCAATCACCAAAGTTTTAAGAGTTGGAGGCAAGTTATCCATTGAAAGTGAAACCAGTTTTGGGCACTTTACAATCTCTAACTCTGTAAGACGTGAGGTTGTGCAAGGTTTTTGATAACTGCTTTAAACCTGCACAATCTTCTATTCTTACATGTTCAATGTTGCTTGGTAGTTTTAACTGCTGAAGCTCTTCTTTTTCCTCTTTTTATGCACCTATACACACAACCTGTGGATAATTTTCAAACTTCAAACTATGAAAAGATCTCAAAGGTGCCATCCACCCCCACTTTGTTTTCTACAGAGAAGCCAGCTCCCCACAATCATTAATATGGAGATTTTCTACTTTCATCAATTCTAACATTGCCATTTCCTCTGCCACACATGTAAATGTTGAAATGTTGGAAATAATGATTTCCTTCACTGACCAAAGCTCGATAGAACTCCGAAGCATCAATTTTTTGCATCCATCAATTTCTAATTCACATAGCATTGGGAGGCTTGAAATTGGAGCTACCAATTGTGGACATCTGTTAATCACAAGTTTTTCCAAACAAGGAAGGCAATCTGGTAAAGTTCCGACCAATTTTGGACAATTATTAATAAAGAGTTGTCAGAGGCAACATAATTCTCTACCTTTTTTATCAAATTCACAAGGCTTCCACTCTTTCCATTCAGGCATATCTTCAAAAAACAATGTCTCTAATGATGGAAATACAATCAGGCAATTCTCCCCATAAAACTCATTGCCAACTCTAACTATACCATGCATCCCCTTGATATAAAGATCTTTTAAAAGTGGTAGCTTTCCAACTGCAGGCAATAATCCACAATTTCGACAATCTTCAAACTTTAAAGGTTGCAAGTATTTAAATGAAGGACTTTCTATCCAAATTGCAAATGCTATTTCGGCATACTACTTGATGGCAAGTGCTTTAAGCTCTTCATGAGGTTGAAGCAAGTTCAACACTTCTCTCTCAACTTCTTTCTTCCTTGTACTTTCATTGAAGTCTATACTCCAATTTAACTCTATATTATCAAGGCCAAACAAGCTAGATAGCTTAGCTTCCCATGCACATTGAGGTTTATCCAGATTCTACAATTCAGAGATAGAAAGCTGACCTTTGAGTTCTGATAAATTTTGTATTTCTCTTATATTCAATCCATCGCCTCATCCCATAATAAAATTAGACAATGCTCAAACATTAGTCAGCCTACCAACTCCATTTGGCATTTCCTTTATTAAATATGCACCAGTAATATCGAGATAATATAGGTTGACCAAATTTCCTATTTCTGAGGGAACTTCTCAATATGCTCACTAAACCTTAATAATAGAGTCTGTAAATTATGCAGGGCACATAATGAATCAGGTAAACTTCTAATTGCAGTAAAGGAGAAATTCAAATAGCGCAGATGTTTCAGATTTCCAAAAGAGTATGGAATTTTCGTAATGTGGTACCTTTGCAAAGAGAGTGCCCCCTATGTCAACTTCGGCAGCAGATCAACAACAACATTTACTCAAATAACAAGTCTCTTCCAACATCAGTGTAAATGGTAAGAAGGTTCGTAGATTTGTTGAATAAATTGATACCATCACACTGGCCAGCAATATAAGATGAGTGGTGAACAAGTCTTGGATATTTCATTTGTTCATTTCCCTCCATTCTGAAACATATTTTCCAGCAACTGATTGAGCTAGATCATTAATAAGGTCATGCATTACGAAATGAGATTTCTTCCTTCTAAATGCTTGGAAAAATGACCTTGATACAAGTTCCTTAAAGTACTTGCGACCCAAATCTTCAATCTGTGCAGTGTTTGCTTCATTTAGGAAACCTTCTGCCATCCATAGTAGGATTATTTCTTGCTCCGTAAATTCATAATCTTTGGGGATTATAGAGCAATAAGCAAAGCATTGTTTCAGTTATGGAGAAAGATGATAGTAACTCAACCATAGAGCTGGAATGATGCCACTCTTTTCTTCAAGTAAATCCAAATTTCTCTCTCTAGTATGTCTTTCCATGCATCGTGATCCATCCTACCGCACAATAATACTCCAATACATATATGTTGGACACCACTTAAGCCCAAAAGCTGAAGTTATTAGGTTCTTGAATCTTTCGTGTATATATAGGGCATCTCATTCAAATTTTTTAGTGATGTGGGATTCTTTACTCACATGTGAACCTTATCCCAACAATCTCCCCCATTCACTTGTGAATTCTAATCAAGTCCCACCTCGGCTCTCCTGTGTAAGTAAATCCTACTAACACCTCCTTTGGGACAAGCAACCTCTGCACTTTTAGGCCAAACCACAGCACTCAATCTTTCCACCTAGGTTGTCTCAATGCTCCTTTAAGCTTGTACTCTAGGTTAACTCAATACATCGGCTACTTGGGTGTTTCACTTCTGCATATTATCATATACTCGCTGCATCCAAGTCGAACCTTTTAATACCGACATTCGAGCACATGGAGTTGATGGACATGACCAACCTCCAATCTGCTAACAATCTCTTTCCTAACAACACCACTAGAACTTGAACTCGTAACCTTGACTCTGATACCACTTGTTGGGAGATAAGTTACAGTTGGAACTCATGGGAGTACACCAAAGAGCCAATGCATATATGTTAGACACCACTTGAGCCCAAAAACTTGTATGTATGGACTCTTTATTGTGCTCCCACGGGCTCCAAATGTGGCTTATCTCCCATCAACTTCCTCACAATCTGCAACCCAATTTCTTTCAAGTCTAGATGATCACTAAAATCTCTTGCTCCTAATGCATGCTGAGCAAACATACGAAGAGAATCAACATCTAATAACCTTGCAATGAAAAATCTGAAACAGTTTTCACAATTGATGAAACATTGCAACTACGTGATGTTATAAGTATTTTGCTTCCTACTGCCCTTGCATCAAAAGGGGATTGCAGCTTGGTCCAATCATCGTAGCTTTTATTCCAAATATCATCCAAGACAATAAAGAATTTCTTTCTAGATAATTTTTCCTTCAAGTTGGCTTGAAGCAAATTCAAATCGTTCAACTGATCACATGGCTCATGAGTGACTGATTGAAGGATGTTTTTGTTATCTTAACGACATCAAATTCCTGAGAAACGCATATCCATGCTCAGCTTGTTTACAATGATCGCAGCATAAGAGCTCATTTTGATATCCAAGCTTGGATATCAACATGAGCTCTTATGTTGCAATCATTGTAAACAAGCTGAGCATGTATTGTAACACCCTTAATCTCATATTGAAAGAATGCGTGGATAAGGAATAATACATATGTAGAGGCTTAAACCTAAAACCTGTGAGGCATCTTTTGTGGGATAAAACTGTGAGACCATTAGATCAAAGTGGACAATACCTCTAGAATCCTAACATCTGGTCTAATCTTGGTCCTATGATTAGACTTCCCTTAACAGGGATAACAAGGTGGGGAGATTGTAAGACTTTCAAATCAAAGCGAGCAATATCTCGTAGGTTGGATGCGGATCTCCACAAGTATTGTCTTGCCAATTCCTCCCATTCCAACAATGGGAATCACTAAAACTCCACCATCAATATCATCATCCCTCAAAACCAAATTTAGTATTGATCTCCGTGTCTTTTCCTCTACCATATACTTCAGTTTCATTCACCAAAGACGTACTAGGCAGCCTATTTGGTATATCTATCGTCTTTGGTTCTCCAATGCTGATCAATTGCAAGTTACTCTTTCTTGTTTCTAACTGTTTCAACCTTTTGGAGATATGTTTTATCTTGGACATCATCTTATTGTTAAACATGATAGCCTTGGGATGTAAACTACTGCAGAAAGTAGGAATAAACTTTTGCACCTTACTTGTGCGGCTTGGCATTCAATACTTTTCATCAATTTGCATCCCACAGCATCAGTTGCAAACTCGTCCAAGATGTCATCCACGTCGTAGTCCAAGTCTTGGAGGTCAGCCAACCAGATCTTCACCTGTTGCTCTATCATTTGTCTGTTCTCTGCATCAAGCACTGCATTTATATTCTTCAATGTGAATTCGCATTTCTCAATTTCCTTGTGAACCTGCTTTTCACTAGCAAGCTTGAAGCCAAAAGAGCTGAATTTATTATACAGCGCCCCAAAGAGAGCAGATAAAGCAGCCTCTCCAATACCAGACATGATCAATAACTTTTAAGGAAAATCGAAGAGTTGGAATTGAACAGAAGGAAAAGAGTAGCAATTAGTTTTCTGAAAGCTGAAGAGTTTAGGCAGCGTTTGGTAATGATGAAAATGAAGCAAAAATTAGCATTATATTTCTTGTTTTAGAGCTCGAGATGGAAAAAGAGAGACAGAGCTGGCCAGATGGTTTTATTGTTTTTAGTCTCCTAATTTTGCAATATGAACAGAGCTAGATCCAAACGGTTTTTGGGGTCCTAAGTTAGGACTCCTAACAGAGTTTCTATCATTCTCATGGTGCTGGCAGAGCCAATAACTACACAATTGCTTGGATTCGGATCACCAGATCTAAAACAAGAAATATGGTGATAGTGACATGTAATGGTGAAATTGAATACTATGGTGAAATTGAATACTGTGCTGAGACTATATAACAAATATGCCCCAAAAATCTGTGAGAATTTACTCCCAGATTCCATAAGTCTTTGTGCCAATGAAAGTTAATGGGAGAAGATTACATATTTCCCCAATACCAGTCATGATCAAGTACCGGACAATGTGAGAAAATTGTAACGAAAAAAAGTAATAACATTAGCAATTCACCTGGGTGATGAGTTTATATATCTCACAAATCATAAAAAAGTTGGTACTAAGCTTGGAATTTTTTTTTTTTTGGGATAAAGGCATTTTATTCATCCAAAACAAACAGTCTGCAACAGAGTAACATGTTGCAAAACATCAAACATTACAACAACAATCATCAAAACATCAAGAAAACAGAACTTAACAAGTACAGGTAGAAGTCGAACCGAGAAACGAAGGCAGAATAAGCAGCATAGTCCTTTGAGCTCTACTCTTACACGAGAAACACAATGAAATCTGACTACTGCATATTCAAAGAACCAGACAAGCACAATTCCAATTTCTTTTTGGAATTACGAGTCTGTTTGAAATTTGAATGACGGTTAAGTGAAAGCTAGAGAGGAAGCCCAAGATGTTTTTGTATGAAGCTATAGGATCTTTCTTGGTAACTCAATCGTTTGGAGATGATTTGGGGATGATTTGTTTTCCTTTTTGCAGATTCCTAAGAGATGCTTTGATTTATGTGCTCAATTTTGGATGCCTAACTTTATTTGCTTTGGGTGGGGAGTTGTTTCTTCTAAATCTTGATTAGCAAAAGATAACTTGTCTTGGTTTTGGGAGATGTTGGCAGTTCCAGTTCCTTGGTCCACAAGGGTTGCAGGTTTATTATTTTTTGAGTGATGATTCTTATGTTTTTATCAGTGTTGGGATTTTTGTTTGCTTTTTTTGTTTTCTGATCTTTTAATTGGGTTTTCAGAGTTTTTTTTTTTCTTGTTTTCGCTGATTTAGTTTTCATAGTTCTTTTGTTCACTGATTTATCTAACCAATATTTGTAACCAAAAAAATTTAAAAAAAAAAAAAAGGGAAAGCGAGACACCAAATTTTACGTGGAAAACCTCGGAGGAAAACCCCAGAGGAAAAACCACGGGACAATTGTCCAGCCAAATGTTCCACTATTCAAGCTAATGGGATTACACAAGTCTTGTCAAAGTTTAACTAACAGTCATCACCTGTGTGATAAAAAGAACAATCTGACCAAAAGTGAACTCTTCGTGGAGACAAATCAAGCAGTCACAAACACCATAACAATGTCTGATTGTTCATTCAAAGATGGTATCCCCTTCCCATCCTTTTTTGGGTTATCCACCCATTTACAAACATCCATAAGCTATGCAGGTGTCAAGCAGCGAAGTCTTCCAAACTGGCCACGTCTCCCCAATATCATCACTTGTTTTGGAAGAAAGGGTCAAGAGATCCCACCAATGCCGAAACATACGAGTTGTAACCAGGAAGATTAAAAGTTGCTTCCAAAGTTCTGATATGTAGCAGGCCCACCATAACGATGAAATCAGTTCGATAATGCTACCGGAAGAACTTCCTGTCATTGAATCCTGAGAGAGCTTTAGAATGCATGAATTTTGTTATCCTGTCATACAAGGCCGCCAAAACATCATATTGTTTAGCCGAGTAACAAAAACTGTAACACAGTAATTCTCAAAGACTTGTAAAATTGTGAACCTAGGATACAGGTTAGATACTGTGGTGATCTTGATTCTAAATCAAATTTTTATGAAACAAGACATTACCATATAGTTACCTGGCTTCCGTTGGAAATGCATTTCTTCCACAAAATCTTTACCACATAACTCGAAAGTTGGTATTGAAAGTATCCACGCAACCACTGTTTCAGCAGGGGACAGTCACCAATATTTAGCAACGAATTCAAGAAACCAGCTCTGCTCGAGAAGAGCTGAACAAGGTGGGAACGAAAGCAGGGCAGCATTATTCCTATTTCTTGTAGAAAAGATACTACATTCTTCCCAACATTCTTCAGCACCATTTGAGGTGGCTGAGCAGAGTCCTTGCTCAAACAGCTCGTAAATGGTGCAGAATTCCTTTCTTGGGAGAAACTTTGAATTTTATAAACCATTCAATACCATACAAAAGACATGGTACAAAATCGAATAAAGATCACTTCAAGAACAGTCAAAACAATATAGAACCAAAGAAATAAGCTATAACTTGTTGGCAAGCATCATCAATTAATCAAAACAAAGAAAGCATTGAATTTCCTCAGAAAAGTCATACCAGAAAAAAATCTATAAGAACCACAAAACAGTGCCAGAATATCAAAGTTGTGCTCTTTTTCCTTCTTTTCCAGTTTCTTTTTCCTCCCTGCTTCACTGTACAATCAATTTCTAGGATCAGTTCCAGTCGAGAGAAAAAGTTTAAAACTTCTTTTTAAACAACATACATAAATTGAAAAATAAAAGACAATGATTAATGCGAACAAACTTGATTTATCAAATGTGATAGCATGTTGACACATTCTTAATAGAAAATTATCTTCATTTTAATTAACAATAAATATTTTATGAAAAATGATATTAGTTTTAAAGCACCTGGCTTCCAACATCAAGAATGCATCAGGAGTCAGGACCATCTCTCACATAGTACTCCACAAAATTATTTGAAAGCTAGTAATGAAGATAATTAATAGCTTGATGCAGATTACCAAGAAAGTGACAATATAAGATAATAATGGTAAAAATTTACTTGACTTTTGAAAGTAAAAATATGTAATGATTCTATTCTCAAAAGAGAATAGATTATAATGATAAAGAAGATTTTCTAGTAGGCATACCTACAATGAACAAGAGGATAAAAGTTTGAGAACTCACATTTTTTCGGTCCGGAGATTTTGAAAGCCTTTGGATAGAAATCCCTCTTCTAATATCAATCCTGTCTCCTCTTGTAGAAACAAGACAAGGCCACATCCAACAATCTATCAACACCATTAGAGACTTGTCTATAAAACCCTCTTCTAGGGTTAAACATCTGGAAAAAAGCTAGAAATTTACAACTCATTTAATACAATACAAAATGAGAAGAAAGATTAATTGAAACAAACAAGTGATCACTTCAAAAACATACAGAATACATAAACCAAAGATTATAGATTTTAGGCAATCAATACTTAATTACAATAAAGAATGAAATCAACAGAGTTGATATTAAGTTAAAATCAATTAAAATAGTAATTAATTCTATATTAAAATCAAAGATGATCTAATTCTACCGCTTAATTAGGAAATGGATTTATCACATGGATTTACTAGTATGAAGAAAAAACTAAAATATTTGACAATTGAATACAAGAAAATTCACTGTTCGCTCGGGTCATTTTTTAGTAGATATATTTGTATATTAAGAAAAGAAAAAGAAAAAAATCAGTTAAAATAGTAATTAAGTCCAAATTAAAATACCTGAGTCCTTCATACATGCTCTAATTATTCTTCCACCTTGATCATTGGAATTCACCGTCAATGTAAACACATGGTATGTGAGCAATGTTGGACCATAGTTTTCCTTTGTCCCTTCTGTACCTTTTCTTCAGCACTGGACAACTATAAATATGTAGATCCAAAAGGGAGGGAAGCATTTCCTTTCTGGGAAGGGATTTGAGCTTTGGGCATTCCTCGATGCTCAAATATTGAAGAGAGGTGAGGTTTTGAAAGCCTTTGGAGGATAGCTTTCTTAGATTTTCGAAATATCTGATTTCAAGACTGGCGAGAGAAGGAGGCAGCTTCATATTCATTCCCATCTTCACACGTGGAAACGACACGACATCTATCAAATCACTACCAACAATGCTAAGTTCTTTAAGAGAGGTGAGTCTATGCAATCCCCACTCCATTACCGCCTTACTAAAATTGGGATCCTCTATGGCAAGTGACGTCAGGTTGGTAGGCAAACCTGCTTCTCCGATTGATTTCGTCATTGGACAATCACTTATCGACAACTCCTGAAGAGAGTAGAAGTTGGGCAGAACTTCAAGTTCACATCCAGAGAGATGTACAGATTTGAGGTTATAGGCAGGGGAACCACTTTCTGGGAAACAATCCAGATTTGAACAACTTTGGAGGTGAATTCTCTGAAGACAGCTCAGCCTGTCCAGTCCTTGGGGTAAATAATTAATATTTGTACAATCGACGAGCTCAATAGATTCAAGACAAATATTATCCCCAATTTCATGCGCTACATAATCAAGCTCTGGGCAGCAGATTGTCAAAGATTTAAGCCTCACAGGTAACTTACCGCTTGATGATAATGATTTTAGAGCTCCACAATGGTTGACTCTAAGATATTCAAGGAGAGATGTGCTGCTGAAATTGATATCCTCTCTGTCATCCAGTAAACATTCCAAATTATCACAACCGTAGATCTCCAAATTTTTAAGAGTTGGAGGCAAGTTATCTGTCAAAAGTGAAACCAATTTTGGGCACCCCCCAAGATTTAACGTTCTAAGACATGAGAGGTTCTGCATGGTAGCTGATAACTTCTCTAAGCCTTCACAAATTTGTAATGTCAAATGTTCAATGTTGCAGGGTATGTCTAATTGCGAAAGCTCTGCTTGTTCCTCCTCCTTCGCAGCCCCTATAGACACAATTTGCGGACAAAATTGAATCGCTAAATTACGAAGAGATCTCAAAGATGCCAACCACCCCCACTTTGTTTGCCATAAAGAAGCTAGCTCCTCACAACAACCACGGATAGTGAGATATTCCACTTTCATCGACTCTAACATCATCATTTCTTTTGTTACACGTTCAAACTTTGCAATGTCCAAAAGAAAGATTTTTTTCACTGACCAAAGATCACTGGAACTCTCAACTGCTACTTCCTTGCATCGAAAAATTTTTAATTCATATAGCTTTGGAAGATTTGAAATTGAAACTACCAATTCTGGGCAATTCAAAATTACAAGTTTCTCCAAAGATCGAAGGCCGTCGGGCAAAGTTCTAACCAATTTAGGACAATTTGTAACGAAGAGGGTTTGGAGGCAACTGAATTTTCTACCTTCTTCAACAACTTCACAAGGCTCCCACTCTTCCCATTCTGGCATATCATGAAAATGTAATGTCTCTAACAATGGAAATACATTTGGGCAATTGTCTCCATAGAATTCCTTGCCAACACTAATCACACTGCTCATCCCCTTGATGTAAAGATGTTTTAAAAATGGTAGCTTTCCAACTGCGGGTAATAATGCACAATTTCGACAATCTTCAAACTCTAAATATCGCAACTTTCGAAATGAAGGATCCCCTATCCAAATAGGAAGCAATATGCCAGCACAATGCTTGATGGCAAGCTCTTTGATATCTTTATGAGGTTGGAGCAACTTCAACACTTCTGTCTCAACTTCTTTCTTTCTTAAATCCTCATTGAAGTCTTCACTCCATTTCAACTCTAAATAATCGAGGCCAGACTTGCTAGAAAGCTTAGCATCATGTACATATTCTGCTTCATCCACGTTATGCAATTCAGAAATACAAAGCTGACCTTTGAGATTTGATAAATTCTGCATCTCTCTTATATTTAGTCCATCTGCTTGACCGATAATAAAATCAGACAATGCTCGGAGATTTGTTAATTCACCAATTCCACTTGGCATTTCCTTTATAGAAACTGCACCATTAATATCTAGATGGCATAGGTTTTTCAAAATTCCTATTTTTGAGGGCAATTTCTCCAGCTTCTTACAAAATCTTAACAAAAGAGTCTCTAAATTGTAAAGGGTACATAAAGAATCAGGTAAACTTCGAATACCAGTATAAGAGAAATCTAGATAACGTAGATGTTTCAAGATTCTAATAAAATCTGGTATTTCGGAGATGTGGTACCTTTTCAAAGAGAGCACCCTCAAGCATTTCAATCTCGGCAGTAAATCATCGAGAACGTTATCGCTTAAGAAGCACTTAGCATACTGCAACGGCATCATTGTGTCAAATGGCAAGAAGGTCCGTAGAGACTTTGCTTCAAAAAAGGTCTCAAACTTTTTGATTCCGTCATACTCACCGATGACATAAGAAGAGTGACGAGTGCGACTTGGGTTCTTCATTCCCTCATTTCTCTCCCTTTTAAAATATGTTTCTTCTGCAACGAACTGAGCCAGATCGTTAATCAGGTCATGCATTACAAACAAAGATTGAGCCCTGCCAGATGCTTGAAAAAATGACCTTGACACCAATTCTTCAAAGCACTCCCTACCCAGATCTTCAATTCTCCTTTCAGTGTTTGCTCCATTTAGAAAACCTTCTGCCATCCATAATTGGACTGTTTCTTCCACGCTAAATTCATAATCTTTAGGAAATAGAGAGCAATAAGCAAAACATTGCTTTAATTGTGAAGAAAGAGAATAGTAACTCAACAAAAGAGCTGGAACTATGTTAGTTTTCTCTTCAGATAGCTTCCAAATATCACTCTTTAATATCACTTTCCATGCATCATGATTCACCCTAGTGCGCAATAGCCCTGCAATGGTTATAATTGCCAAAGGCAAGCGACCACACTTTTTCACAATCTTCAAGCCGATCTCTTCCAGGTCTGGATGCTCAGTAAAGTCCCCTCTGTCTAATGCATGACAAGCAAGTACAGAGAGAGAATCTTCATTTGATAAGTATTGCAACGAGTAATCTGCAGTAGTTCTCATAATGGATGAAACATTGGAACTACGTGTTGTAACAATTATTTTGCTTCCTGGGACCCCTGCATCGAAAGGGGGTCGAAGCTCCAACCACGCACTGTATTTCTCGTTCCAAACATCATCCAAAACAAGCAAGAATTTCTTTCTGGATAGCTTCTCCTTCAGTTTGACTTGAAGCAAATTGAACTCCTTTTCATCGCAAGGCTCAGAAGTGACCGATTGTAGAACTGCTTTTGTTATCTTAACGACATCAAATTCATCTGAAATACATACCCATGATGTAAGATCAAAATGATCTTTTATGCTGTCGTCATTGTAAACAAGCTGAGCAAGGGTTGTTTTTCCAATTCCTCCCATGCCAACTATGGGAATCACAGAAACTCCACCATCACCACCATCGTTGCTCAAAACCAAATCAAGTATCTCCTGCTTCTCTTTGTTTCTGCCACGTACATAGGTTTCATTCACCAAAGAAGTGCTTGGCGGCCTCCTTGGGATTGTCATAGACATTCCAACACTGATCTCCGTTAGCTGCAAGTTACTCTTTTGTGTTGCTAAACCTTCCAATCTTCTAGTAATCTCTTTGATCTTGGACATCATCTTATAATTAAACATGATGGAACTTGGTTGTAAACCAGTAGGCCTAACCTTTGGTACCATACTGGTGCTGGCTTGATGTTCTTTCACCAACTTGCGCCCCAAAGCTTCAGTGGCAAACTCGTCCAAGATGTCATCCAAGTCGTAAGCCAAGTCTTTGAGGTCAGCCAGCCACATCTTCACAGCATCACTCCGCACTTGCTTCCACTCTGCATCAGCAAGCACTGCATGGATATTCTTCAATGTCTGCTTCCATTTCTCAATCTCCTTTCGAACCCTTTTGTCAGTGATAAACTCGAACTCGGAAGAGGTAAACTTTGCAAACAAGGCCTCAAAGAAAGCAGATAGAGCAGCCTCTCCAATGAAAGCCATTATGAATAGCTTTGACAAAGGAATTATGAGAATAATTGAAGTAAAGAGAAAATCAGAGAGTAGGAATTGAAGAAGAGGAAAAAGGCTTGCAGCGTTTTTTAAGAAAGCTGAAGAGTTTGAGAAGTACCTGTGAGTCTTCCTTTTGGGTCTAATAGTCCTGGGCTGCTGGTAATTTTCTTGTATATATTTGCGTTGGATTCTCATTCACAGGGTCACCACTTAAAGGAAAATGCAATAACCTTCTCAGCTCAAGATGACATTCACTGGAAAGTACTGAGTGGTGGGTCCATTAGGTTGGTTTGGGGTCTCCATTTCCAGGTTTCCTATTCTTTTTCAAGGAGTTCTTTAATTGAAGTGAAGACAAATGAATAGAGGTTGGTCCACACGGCTTCTGGGGACTTGGGTGAGGTGTCCTAACCACGGATTGTAACGTAAAATTAATAAAGGAGAAGTTAGCATAGCGTTATTTCTACATACTTTCTGGTGTTCAACACTCATTGGCTCTTACAAACTGCCCAACTTGACTTTTATCAACAGTTTCATAATGTGCTTCCACTGTTACTGTGTTACAACAAGAGACAAGAAATACGGCAATTCAGCAATTCTAATTTCATTTCCCTCTTTGAGCAAAGTAAATACAAAATTTGATAGATGATATGAAGCAGGATACCAAATTTTACATGAAAAACCCCTAAGTCAATGGGAAAAACCAAGGGAATTCAATCCGTTCAATCTTCCACCACTCAAAATAATGGGATTAGGCAAGTCTTGTATGGAGGATATTGCAAGTTCTTGCATAACATACAGTTATCACTTAATAAAAGTGTGCTAACAAGAGCACTCTGAACAAAAGTGATCTGTTTGTGGAGATAAATCAAGCAGTCACAAAGGTGCCTCTTGCTCATCCTTTTTTTTTCAATTATCCACTCCACTCGTTTACAGACATCCATTTCACTTTTGGAGGGTTACAATTTCTCACGCTAGTCTTCCAATCTGGCCATGTTTTCCAAGGGGCTCCCCAATATAATCGCTTGTTTTGGAAGAAAGGATCAAGAGATCCATTAATGCCCAAACATACAACATAAAGAGTCAAATGAAAGCAATAGCCTTTTTATTGAGAAGAGAGTCGGGTTTCAAGCCTGCTCATGCTCTGATGCCAAGAAGCTTGTCTTAAAGTGCACTTCGATTGATGCTTGTTTTAATTCTTAGATTAAGCTTCACTGAATCAGGTTGATTGCAAAGAAAAAGTTAAAATTGGAGATTGGTCACAAGAATTGGTGTAAATAATTAGCTATAAGTTGTTCTTTAGCTTAGATTTGCCATACAATGATAATCATCATTGATATTCTAAATTTCATGGCTAACATATAATCATCACCTTAATTATAAAATGCTCTAACAGGAACAATCTCAACGAAAGTGAACTGTTCGTGAAGACGAATCAAGTAGTTACAAACACCATAACCATGTTTGATTGTTCATTGAAAGATGCTTTCCTCATCCGTTTCTACTAATGCATCCATGTTCAAACACTGGTGTAGGTTACAATTTCTCAAGCTATATGACTCTGTAGCCACCGTCATGTATTAACTAGACATTCTTGAATCGAACATCACCAACCATGCTTTTCAAGGTGCTCTATCACTTGTTTTGGAAGAAAGGATTAAGTCGTAGATCTGATTAGTGTCATGTAAAACACTAATAAATTTTATCATGTTCACACGAAAATATGATATACATCTTTTAGTTTAATTTTTTTTTATTGCAAAGGAGGACTAATGCCTTTACAAAGGGAGGGGGGGATGACGGGATCAAACTCATGTCTAGATGACTTTTAACCTGTCTCTTAATCACTAGGCTAAGAGGGGAAGTTTAATTAAATCTTATATATGATTGTTTTAAGAAAGCTGAAGAGTTTGGGAAGTATCTGTGAGTCTTCCTTTTGGGTCTAATAATCCTGGGCTGTTGGTAATTTTCTTGTATATATTCGCATTGGATTCTCATTCACAGGGTCACCACTTGAAAGAAAAAACAATACCCTTCTCAGTTCAAGGTAAATTTCACTGGGAAGTACTGAGTGGTGGGTCCATTAGGTTGGTTTGGGTCTCCATTTCCAGTTTTCCAGTTCTTTTTCAAGTTGTCCTTTAATTGAAGTGAAGGCAAATGAATAGAGATTGGTCCACAAGGTTTCTGGGGACTTGGGTGGGGTGTCCCACAGATTGTAACGTAATATTCAATAAAGGAGTGGGCATAGCATCATTTCTACGTACTTTCTTGTGTTCAACACTCATTGGTTCTTATGAACTGCCCGAACTTGACTTTTATCAACAGTTTTAGATTGTGCTTCTACTATTACTGTTTTACAACCAGAGACAACAAATGGGGCAAATTCAAACAACCAGGCAACAGCAATTCCAATTTCATTTTCCTTTTGAGCAAATTAAGTACACAATATGAAAATAGTAAAACAAATCATTAGATCATATGAAGTAGGATACTAATTTTTACATGAAAAACCCTTAGAAAATGGGAAAAATCGCGGGAATTCAATCCATTCAATCTTCCACTACTTAAAATAATGGGATTAGGCAAGTCTTGTCTAGAGGATGTTGCAATTCTTGCATAACATACAGTTATCACTTCATAAAAGTGTGCTAACAAGAGCACTCTGAACAAAAGTGATCTCTCTGTGGAGATAAATCCAGCAGTCCCAAAGGTGTCTCTTGCTCATCCTTTCTTTTCCAGTATCCACCCCACCCGTTTACAGACATCCATGTCACTTTTGGAGGGATATAATTTCTCAAGCTAATTTTCCAATCTGGCCATGTTTTCCAAGGGGCTCCCCAATGTAATCGCTTGTTTTGGATGAAAGGATCAGGAGATCCATTAATGCCCAAACATACAACATAAAGAGTCAAATGAAAGCAATGGCCTTTTTATTGGGATGAGAGTCAAGTTTCAAGCCTGCTCATGTTCTGATGCCAAGAAGCTAGTCTTAAAGTGCACTTCAATTGATGCTTGGTTTAATTCTTAAATTAAACTTCACTGAATCAGGTTGATTGCAAAGAAAAAGTTAAAATTGGACATTGGTCACAAGAATTTGTGTAAATACTTACCTATACATTGTTGTTTAGCTTAGATTTGCCATGCACTGATAATCTTCATTGATATTCTAAATTTCATGGCTAACATATAATCATCAGCTTAATTATAAAATGCTCTAACAGGAACAATCTCAACAAAAGTGAACTATTCGTGGAGACGAATCAAGAGTTATAAACACCATAACCATGAATGGTTGTTCATTGAAAGATGCTTTCCACATCCGTTTCTCCTAATGCATCCATGTACAAACACTGGTGTAGGTTACAATTTCTCAAGCTATATGACTCTATAGCCACCATCATGTATTAACTAGACATTCTTGAATCGAACATCACCAACCATGCTTTTCAAGGTGCTCTATCACTTGTTTTGGAAGAAAGGATTAAGCCGTAGACCTGATTAGTGTCATGTAAAACACTAATAATTTTTATCCTGTTCACACGAAAGTATGATATACATCTTTTAGTTTAATTAAATTTTATATATGATTGTTAAAATCTTAAATCATATTACTTTCATATTATTTTTGTAGTCATTCCATTTCATCTAAGAAAATTTTTTGAAATCAAAATAAACCTTCGATCATAAATGGGCCGTGATTGGAAAGCTTCAAACCCAAAAGGATAAAAACCCATAATTTTAATTTTATTGTTGATGTTAATTTTAATTTTAACTTTATTTAGATTTAAATTTTAATTATGTTTCCCAATTTGATATTGGATTTTTTTTTTTTTAAATTTTGGTCAACAATCCAAGGTCAAAGTAAAAAAAATGGGAAGAACAAAACGAATGGAAAGTTTGAAAATCATGGGGTTTTACAAGGGAAAATCAATGGCTTACTAAACTATCGAAGGAATTTCATGGGTTTATTTTGGTAAAAGTTTTAAACAAAATTTATTAAAACAAAACAAATTCATAAGTCTTATTAAACTATTGAAGGAATTTCATGGGTTATTATTATTATTATTATTTTTATTATAAATTCTATTAAATTATTGGAGAATTTCATAATAGGTTTTTTTCTAAATAAAATAAAAATTTTTGAATCTTACCAAACTATTGAAGGATTTAAATTTTAAATTAAATCTTACCAAAATATTTGAAGATTTAGAGAGTTTTCTTGAAGTAAATTTTTTTAATGATTTTCAAATAAAATCTTATCAAATTATTGAGCGATCTAAAGTAAAATCTTACCAAACTATTCAAAGATTCTTACCAAACTATTGAAAGATTTTACTAATTGTTTCCTAAATAAAATATATTAATGAGTCTAATAATAGAGCTTTTCCAGAATGAGACACTAGTTTTTATGAATACTTTTGAAGTGAGAAAATTATCTTAAATTGTTACCAAACTATTGGAGTAATTTTAAGATCAATTTTCAATAATTAAATTATTTGTTAAAACTATAAAGATGTTTTAAGGTGTGGATAACTTGAAATCAAACTGGTACTATCCTTTTGATGTGTGCTAGAAGGTGCTATAACCTTTTTTATGCATAATTACACTCCCAAACCTAAATCTAATTTCGTAGACTAGAATCTACCGTTTAAGGACACCTAAATTATGCTTGGGACTCTTATTTAAAATGGGACAAATTTAATTAGGTGGCCAATCGCACCTAAACAAAAATATTAGTGGCGACTCCTTACATCTATGTTTTGCAATAGGCCTATAGATCTATATATTATGATAGTTTGGTGACTCTAATGGGGATAGCCAAAATCAGGCCAATAAATGATTTCTTGTTATTCATGCCTGACATAATAAATTAAAGAATTTTTCTTTTTGCTTGTGTTTTATTTATTTATCTTTTTAATTATATATTTCATTCACCTGCATACACATTATATGAGCTTTACACTCAAGCTTTGTCCCTTAAAAGGGAGTAAAGTAACTAAACTTTAGTGAGATTTTATGTTTTTGAATTAACTAGTGAAATACTTCCACTCATATTGAACTAGTTCCGCTTATAGCCTACGATGGGCAAAGATTAGGCTGCTTTACTAGTCTGTGATGGACAATGATGTGAGAAACAATTTGGGAACTTTTAAAGGTAACTCAAACTACATATAGTTAACTTTATAAGCCTAACCTGTAAGTAGAGCCATGTT